CTGCTGAAGATGATCCCACAGCAAGAGAAACAGGCACATTTGAGGACTGCTTTGATGGCACTTGATGACTGCATCTGCTTTACTGCTTCCTCCCAAGTGCACAGCTGCCAAGCCCCCCAGCCACAGGATGATGTCCTCCTGTGGTCACCTCCTCACTCTACTTTTACCCTAATGCCTGAGAAAAAAAAAAAAAAAGCCACATTGCATCCCAAGCATTTTGCAGCTTCTTGGTCTGAAGTCAGGGGAAAAACTGTCTTTTATGTCCAGCAAAAGTTTGCAAGGGTTTGTCACAATCCTCCTTGTGCTTCTGCCTTCCCTAGGGAGAACCCAGGGCCCTCAAAGGACCAACAGAGACAAGTTCAGTCTTATAAGCCACACAAGCTGAGAGAGGAGTTTTCAACCTCCATTTGCTTTTTGTCACATTTTTTGGTATCACAACATCACAACAGAGATGGAACAGCACCATCATGACCCTCAGGAGACATCTCCTTACCTATTCCTAGGCACAGAGAAATCTGAGGGGAGTAAGCCTGGGACTGTCTTGCAGTTTCTCAAGCTCAGCTGCAGGAAAACTGGTATTTCTTAGAGTGAAGCTATTTTTCACTGATTTTACAGGATCCCAGCATAAACTGAAGACAGTTTCCAAGCTTTAAAGCAATTTTCACCCTACAGGTCCCTCCTCCATTTCTTAGGCTAATTGAAGGTAACATGGTTTTAATGAGTAGCTGTCAAGAGGAACTTGAGCCTGAAACAGAGACAAGAGCAGCATGCAGAGCATTTGAGTGCCATGACTCCAGCATAGTTCTGATACCACAACATCAGGCATTAAAGACACACTAAGAAGAGAACAGCAGTATGAAATGGTCCTGGGGTGCTGCTGCACTCCTACACCTTCCAGCTAGAGATGGAGAGAAGCAGGTTCCATGGTTCATGTTTCCAAGGGGGCTGAGCTGATGAGCAGAGGAACCTCCCCTTCCCTCAGGGAATGCCAGCTGCTTTCCCTGTGACTTCAGCATCCTGAATGCCACATCCTGACCCAGCAGGATGCAGTGCTGCAGATGTGGCCCTGCCCAGGAGCGTGCACCAAGGCAGCCCCATCCCTCACCTGCTGCCTCAGCACAATGTACTGCTCCCCTGAGACGCCGTGCCTGGAACTCTGCACCCAGACCCAGGCCCAACCAGGGAGCACCCTGAGGTGGAACACACTGCACTCTGCAAACCCCATCTGTGTCCCTACGTGCTCCTCACACCCCAAACCCTGCTCAGCCCAGCTGCTGCCCATGCCTTGCCTCAACCCAGCAGAGGAAAAGTGGCTTCTGTCCTAAAACACAAGGGATTTCTGCCTTGCACAGGTTTAGCTGAGAAACCCGAAGAAGGTAGATTTTCCCCAAGGTGTGGGGGAGCACTGCAAAGAGCTGCAAGTCCTCATAAAGGCTAACAAAAGGCAGCAGACCGCTGTGTCCTGCCAATCCAGACAGAAAGGATACTAAGGCCACTGGCACTGCATGGCAGCCTGCCACGAGGAATAACTCTTCAAAAATAGAAGCATGCTAATCTCAGGAACCTGCTGGTATTGTCAATGACATTAATGAAGTGTTTCGAAAATCAGAACAAATGCCTTGGCTTTTTGGGGCTGTGCCACCCCTTGTAATCTTCCACACCAGCCGAGGAGTGGTCTGGGGGCAGCCACTGCTCCTGTGCTGCTCTGCTCCCCTGGGAGCAGCCCCCCCGGGAGCAGCAGCCTGGGGTCGGCTCTGGCAGGATCCCAGCGAGCTTGGAGCCTGCACAGGGAAGCCTGGCCAGCCCTCAGGGAAGAGGCTCCCCCAAGCAATTTCCTCTGTGAAGCAAACCCAACCAAGCACACTCAGTGGAAACAGTGCCCAGGGGAGGTGGGAGCTCACTGTCTCCTCTTCCCTTCTTTTCAGTCCTTGTCTAAAGCCCCCTCTGGGTTCTTTTTCACTCTCTCCAGCTCCTGCCTCCTCATCTCCTCTTTCTGCAGTTTATCTCCTGAGATGTTACACTGTTTACAATGCTAAGGGGAGGCACTTGAGGACCCCTTCAAATGCTGGGGAACTGCACTGAATACTGACCTGCCCCCTGAGAGCCTCCCCCTCTCCCTTCCTCCCCTGCTTTCCCATCTTCTCCCCTCTCATCTCCTGCCCAAGCAGACCCAAAGGGACTGCTGTGGCTGACATTCCCTGCCTTGCTCCATGCAGCTGGCTGCCTCCCCAGGCACACTGCTCCTATGGCCAGGTGCTTCCAGGGCTACTGTGGGTGGTGATTTCTCCAAGGCTGCTTTTCTTGCTCCTTGGCACCCAGGACAGCTCCCTCCAACAAGTGGTGGGGAAAAGAGGGCAGATGCAGCTTTACTTCTTCTCTCTGTCATTGTCCCAGTAAAGTCATCAGGAATGTAGAAACGGGAAAAGCCAAAGGCAGAGCACATCTCCATCCACCATGGCCAGGGCCCACAGGACAGTAAATTTGTCCCTGGCAGAAGGGCTTTGAACTTCTGGGTAAGTATGTGTTGAGCACTGGGCTCAGGCTGGCAGACAGAGGACAACCTGCTGGTCTCTTGCCTTTCTGATCTCTCTGAATCACAGCCTTTAAACACACACAGAGTCAATCCTAACATCGCTTCCCGGGCTTTCCAGATGAGGAGTAAGCAAGCAGTACTTTGTGAAGGAGATAACAGCAGAAGCCAGGGTGTTAAGACCTCCACAGCTCACCAGAGTGCTATAGGGCCCCTTGGAGCACTGACTGCTCCAGCATGGGGCAAGTCCTGCCCTCTCTCAGGTAGTCCCCAGGACACTGCGTGCTCAGCACATCTCACACCAGCTGAAGTGGCACAGCCAAGTGCCTGTCCATCTCCTTCCCTAGCTACTCTTTCTTGCCAGCTTTCTCCCCACTTCCCTCTTTCTGCAGCAAGCAGTAATGCTTCGTTTTCATTGCCAACCATGACATCCACTCTTCTTGTATGCTCAAATCTAGGACAAGGCAGCACGACTTAAACTCTGCTTTGAATCTCACGTGACCTGTGTTTTTGCCTGGCAGATGCAACAGAAAAGATACTTAGGCACCTAGTTTAATCTCACAGGCCTAATAGGGTTCTCATTACCTACAGCCAAAAGCAGTTGTGGTGGGACCTGAACAAAGCCAATGGCTTAAGCTCAGACTTGAATTGCATTGCTTCTTCAGCACAAATCACAGCAGGTGACACCCACTAGAGTTCAGCTCCCAAAGCCAGTCCTGCAAAGCAAAACTATCAGACCTAAATTGGAGCACACACGGCCTTCCCCCATCACTCATTCGTGTGACAGGATGAAACCAGACCAGTCTGTTATCCTTGCACCAGTTTTTTCCCAAAGTCCCAACAGTTCTGCTCAGGATTTTGTGCTCAGGCTCCATCAGCTCTAGGAAATGCACTGCTGTGCAGGCACGATCAGGAAAACAGAACTGTGGGCTGAGCACTGCCCACTTGGCCACCCTGCAGAGTAGGGGAGAAGAGCAGAGAGTGGGAAAAGCACTTATAAGTTATCAGATATGTGGCAGCCTTGAAGAAGCTTAGCAGTAAGGGTTTAATGGGACTGACCAAAGAAACCAGAATGATTTCTGAGATGGGGAATCTTTTAGCTCTGACAAGCACTTATCAAGTAGGCATCTGAGCTCTGGCAGATGCAGCAGAGCAGTGGAAATCCGGCTGGCATATTTGCTGTGGCACTGCCTACAAACCAGAGGACAAAACACTCTCAACAAGGGAGTGTTACCTTCACTTGCCAAGAAACTGAGGCAAGGAACAGCTTTGGGTTGCCTCCTGCCAGGCAGAGGCAGTGCTAGATGAATAGCTAGGTTTATTTAAACAATCATCAACTCCTGTGCCATGTGCTGTGTTCCTGGACAATGTGTTTTATAAAAGGCACATCTGGGGACAGAGGCAGCTCTGTGCGAAGAAAGCATTCACACTGTGAATTCACACTGCCTCCACTGAATTACATCACATCTCTGCTAAGTAACTGGTTCCCTTAAAATACTGAATGAAGCTTTTGTAATGTCTGGTTACCAAAAAATGGGTAGGAAATCACTGATAAAGATCAAAAAGGCTTGTGCTCCTAATTCAGCTGGGTGCCACCACTGTGCCTCTCATAAAAATAATATGTTGTGTTACAGTATGTCAGTTCTCAGAACATTTCTTCCTGCTGCTCCTCCTGGTTGCTGCTGGTCCAAATGACACCACCCATGGCTCCCAGGCTGGCAGGAGCAATCAACCTCTCCATTCTCTGACCGAAAATAAATCAATGCCAGGGGACAAACTAAGACATTGTGTAGAGCAAAGGAGATAAAGGAAGAAACATGAATGTTTTGCGAAAAGGTAATTTAGATAGGTGAGAAATTGTGTGTGTGTGTGTGCTGGTTACAGAGCTCTTTGTATTTAACTGGGATCAGCCCTCCACGGCTGCCACTCCGGCTTGAGAAAAACATACAGAGGAGATAAACGAGAGGAGCTGAAGAGTTTTGCAAGAAGTTAATGTGAAACCAATTGAAAAAAGCTTCTTGTCACAGATGGACTTACACTTGCCTCCCTTGCAGCACTGAGCACAGCTCTGACATGGTACATGAAGTCTATGGATCCAGAGACAGCCAATTCCCACCTCCCACCCACCACTCTACAACAAAGTCGAGGTAACATGGAGTCATTTCAGTCCATCTTGTGTTCCTAAAAATGCATTTTATAAAATCAATAGCATATTGATTGGCTGGCATAGTCTCTCCCACAACCTGAGCAAGGAGCCAGTACCCACATGGGATAACTCAGACAGGAATTACTTCTACCCTCACATGACTGCACAAATGTAGCTCCCCACTGCACTACCTGTAAGAGCAGAAGGATGATAGAAGCAGGATTGCATTATGTGTCATGGCCACACTTTATAAAAGACCTGGACTTTTCAATTTGATTTTTCTGCTGCAGGACGATTAGCAACAGACTTTTCACACTACGAGCATTTCCTTACAAAATATTTATTCAGCATAAAAATTCAGAAATGGACAACAGACAAAAGCTTCATGAAAATGCATAAGCTATTATGTGCCATTAAGTCATTAAGTGCAGCAGCATTTGACCCTGCCACATACTTAAAATACTTTTGTCAGGCACAGTTTCCAATCAGTCTCCTGTGGCAGGACAACTGGCCTCCTGCAGCTGAGGTGGAGTCACCAAGATGTTTGTGAAGCCAGAACACTCTCCCCTCTCACCACCTCCACAGGTTGAGCTTGAACTTCTCTGGCCAAGGAACGGCCACACACCCTCTGTGCTTGTTTGAAGCATCCGATATCCAGGTGCATCTGCAAGTCCAGTAACAACTCCTCAGAGATCTGGATCTTGGTGTCACCTCCCAGTAACTCCCACAGAAGAGGAAGTGCTCAGTATCATCAGGATCTGGCTCCTCCACTTAGGTATTCTGCAAGGTCCACCTTCTACAGAGGCTTAGAAGCACCCATAAGATGTCTCATACCTGCTTCCAAAGGACAACCATCCTGATGACTGCAGGAACCAAGTCCTATGGAGATAACCATCTGTTTTCTGTCTGCAATCCAGTGGGACTTCAGATGATCTAGGTTTAAGGGCATCCACCACTGTGCTGTTTAGCAAGTTCCAAATCCAGTCACTTTTACTGGCAAGGATGACACTTAATAGGGTCATTTTGCTAGGATCATTTAGATGGATCAAAAGGAAGGAAACTCAGTTCATTTGCTCTGTCCCTTCTACTAACCAAATTTAGTAATCAAAAGAATTTCTCATGGGAAAACAGATAGCTCAGAGGTTGATAATGGAGGAGAATTTCCATTTTCTTGCCTTCTGCTGTCTCCTCTAAAATACCCCTCACAGAGACACAACCATCACAAAAGCCACTGGCATCAAACAGGAACATTCTCTACCCTGTGCAGCACCAAGGTCACAAGAGTCAAAAAGGGAGAGAGGAGGACAAGGCAGCACATGAGACCTGTGCTACCACTTGTTATGTGGGTTTGAGGAGGTATTTTTCTCCAGGGCACTGTGTACAGAAGTCAGCAAAGCAAAACATTCCTGCCTCACAAAGAGTACCTGTTCCACCACAGTGTGTAAGAAATGAAAAAAAAAAAAAATTAATGCTGCTTGCACTGCATTTTTTTCCACATCACTGGGGCTCTCCAAAGAACAGGGAACCTGGAAACAGCTGTTCAAGAAATCAAGAGCTGTTTCCAGGAGGTTGGAAGGGGAAGGGCAAGACAAGATACATAAATTACACTTTCTTCCAGATCTGGTATTGTAAACATCAATTTGGAAGAATAATAAATATTAATTACCCTTTTAGAAAATCCTCTCATAGCCTTTCAGCCACCTAGCAAACACTTTATCTGCAAATCCTCAGGAGTGCAATGAGTAAGCTGTAAAGCTATTCAGTGATGTCATGTGATCTATTTTTTATGCCCTTGCCCTCTGCCTTTAAAATTTGCCCTAGTCCAATCCAAAGACGTTACAGAGAATTCCCATTAATGGACAGGGAGCCTGCCCCTCCCCAAATTGATTCACTTTTCTGTGACAGACAGGCTCCAAATCTCTCCGTGTCGCCCACTGTAGCTTCGTGTTCTTGAGGCTTTTAACCATCTACTTCCGTGAACTTTCTTTTCCCATAGTTCTGGACCAGACTGGAAGCTGTGATTTGAGAAGCCTGTCCCTTTTCCCAGCACTGGAAATCATTCAGCCCTTTCTGGCCAACCTGAAACAAAGCTCGTTCCAGCTCATCCAGCCGGGCCACCAGCGCCGACGTGTCCTCGTTGTAGGCGTTCTGAGAGGAGTCCATGATGCGACGGAAACGGTTGATGAACGTCTAAAAGGTGATAAAACACAATTGCTGGCAGCTGACACAGAGGCCCCCTCAGCAAAAATGCTGCAGGCCCGAGCTTTCAAGACTGAAAAGCCAAAGGTTCAGGCTCCAGTTCACAACCAGCCCACGGTCTGCAACCAGCACTTATTAACCTCGGATACAAAGACAAAACCACGCCGTGCCTGAGCTGGGAGAGCAGGTGCCTGATACACCGGATGGGAAGCAAACACAGAATTAGATTTTGGCTGCTTCAGGCTCGAGGAGACCACAGGGCACAACACACAATCCACTCCATCTCACTGCACAAGCAACTGTTGCTTTAGAGCGGGTGGAATGAATCTCATGCCACAGCAGCTGCTGTAGGAACGTACAGGCTGCAACTTGTGAACAACTTGGCAGTTCAGCCAAAATGCTACTGAAAAGTGGGTTTTTTTCAGTATGCTAGAAAAATTATGCTAGAAAAACACTTAACTGTTACAAAACTCAAAAAAACACCCTAATCTATGACTTATAAATATCATCTTCAAAAGCTAAGCAACAAGACATATTTAAGGATTTTTACTTCCCTCTCTGTCTTTACTTTTGGGAGTGAAAAAAGAAAGGGTCAAAACTCTTTGAAAACTGTGCTGTGTTATTTCAGAAGCTGATTTTAGAACCATCAGAACTTATAGGAGAAATATAAATTAATAACTCTCACTTTGACTGTGTCACCAAACAGTTATACTTTGCATTTATTGTTCCTGAATATTTCAGAGAGGGTTTTTTTTTTTTTCAGTTTGTTCATTTTTCAAGTCAGCAAAACTCCCCTCCTGTTTGCTTTTAACAAAGCAAAAACCTTGTGTGCTTTGATTTTTCTGCCAATAAGTAATGAGTTCTACTGTGTTCTTTTTTTTTCCCTAAAATGTCCATTAGCAGAAGGAGAAAAGACAAGGAAAGGCGTGGTCACCTCCTCAATGCACAAAGCACCTTTTCAGTGGACAGCTCCAAGAAAACAGCAGAATTTTAAAGCCTCTCTGCATCAGCCTTAATGTAAAGTACAGAGAATGAAAAAAAAAAATGCAACAGCAATCATCCCCAGCCCACTTAGAGACCTGGCTGAAGAGATGTCAGAGCTGTTAGTGGTTATGGTTAAAAGCTCAGGGAGCACTGAAGTCCGGAAGCTGGCAAAGACGGAATCTATCTTTCAAAAGAGAAAAGGGGAGATGGAAAGGGAGGAAGGAAGAGCCAGGGAATTATAAATCCCTCAGTATCAATTGCTGGAAACATAATGGAACGAGCAGACTATACATAAACTTCTGCAAGAGAATAAAAGAGTAACAGCCAATGTGGACTTGCCAAGAACAAACTCCGAGGGACCAGCCTTGGTTCCTGTTGTGGAAGGATGCCAGGCCTTGCACAGGGAGGAAAACAGTGGAGGGGTATCTGTCATGGAGTGTTCTTGGAAGATTTAGCCAGGCCACCCCAAAGATGGTTGGGAAAGACAACCATCACCCATAGCTCCTGTCAGGAGGGAAGAACACACTGAGTGGAGTTCCACGGGGGTCTGTCTGGAACCAAGTACTGTTTGAGTTGTTAATTAATAAGCTTACTAAAGGAATAGAAGTTGTGCTTATTAAATCAGCAAATAACATGCAGGAGAAAGAGGAGGGGTGACTGCAGGCATGCTGTGGAGCAGAACTCTAATTCATAACGATCCTGACAAATTAGAAAAGCGTAAAAACAATAGGATGTAATTCACCCAAAACCATAAGGTTTTGCATTAAGACAGAAATAGGGAATTGTACAAAGTCAGGAGGAGAAACAGTTGTCTGTGTATGAAACCTGTACCATCTCACTGTGGACTGCAGACCAACCACAGAGCAGTCACTGCATCGTGACAAACAAGATACTGCCCCACGATGAACAATGAGCACCACAGCCTAAAAGGTTCACAAAGTAATCCTTTTGTTTTCATCAGCACAAGTCCTGAGCACGAGACTGTGCTGTTCAGGGCATGGCAGAGCAGATGCAGATCCACTGGAAAGATCCCAGACATAAGGACAATCAGAGATTAGAAAACACGACCCACAGACAGATATCAAATGAACTGGGACTGCTGCAGGAAGGAAGAGAATACTCTGTCCTCAGCATTTACTTTGTGCAAGACAAACAGAACAGAGCTTTGTATTGCTGTGAAGGAGCTTTGGTTTAGACATCAGAGCAAACCTGCTATGATTAGGGTGAAGAAGCACTGAAACAGATTGCCCAGAGCAGTGTGAGGTCTCATTGTTACACAGCTTTAAAAACAGGGTAGAAAAACTGAAACAACAGTGAGTGAATTCATTCTGCCTTGCAGCACAGGCACAATTAAATGACCTTACATCTCCTCTAGTCCTGTTTTGTAACACTTTTTGAAACACCATATTGACAGTGTGGAAACTCTAGGCTAAAGTTACACTCCTGGATGCACACTTGAAGCTTCCAGCAGTAGCCAAGAGGGTCATCCTACAGCTTGATCTAGAAATTCATAATCAGTCCAGAAGTCATCTGGATAAAACCAGGATATTTTTCCTGAAGACTGCTGAGCAGCTGGGAAAAACAGGAAGACAGAAAAATGCAAAACCAGATTTCAAGCCCTAGTTCAGATACTTGCCTGCAGGATACTCTGAGCTATCTCAGGATTCTCCGGATTGTCAAAATTCAGGAGCTGTGAGCCAAATCCATAGTAGTAGGGCCCCATTTTATGCAGATCAACCACATTGGCATCAGCACTGAACACTGTCCTCCAGGCTTCCTTGTAGATCTTTGGCAGCTCCACCGAAATGATTCTCCTTTTGCTGTCATGCAGCCCTTTAGCAAGCCACAGTGGGATTTCCAGCTTCGATCCCTGGAGGAATGAGAGAAACCAAAAGTTGTGCTTTCCATGAAAATACACATTAAGCAGCCCCAAAGACAGACGACGAACTTCATTAATGAAGATCCAGCATTACAGAAACACAGTTTTCTTTTCGGGACAGCCTGCTGTGACCACAGCACAAACCAGACACGCTGTAGGGGCGTTATTACTGCAAGACTCAGAAAGTGGGTTTTTTTATCAATGCTCTACAGCCTAATAATTGTCAGATTATTAAACACCAGAAGGGAAAAAGAATAAAGATCAAAACCAAACAAAAAAACCCAACCAAACAAACAAAACAAACAAAAAACAAAACCAAAACCCAAACAAACAAAAAAACCCCAAACATACAAAGTGCATACGATAAAAGTAAAAATAACTTTTAAAAAAGTAGCGAGAAGAACCAATTTCATTGCAGTGACCACTGGGGGGGTGGGACACGGGGTGGGGGCGAGGCGGCGGCCCCGGGGCAGTCCCGTATCCCCCCGGGGGCTGTTCTTGTCCCCGTCCCCGTCCCCCGTTACCTCCGGGAGGGCCTCGGCGCTGCCGGCCCCCTGCCCCAGCGCCAGGGCCAGGCGCGGCAGAGCGCTCTCGGCGCGCCCCGGCAGCTTCTCCTGCGACATCAGGATGTCGTCCAGCGATAGGAAATTCTCCTCTAGCCCCAGCCCGGGGCCCACCGGGAAATACGCCTCGGACATGGCCCGGAGCGGCACCGGGAGCGGCACCGGGAGCGGCACCGGGAGCGGCACCGGGAGCGGGACCCGCCGGGTCGCGGCTCCCGCGCAGCCCGCCCGGCCCCGCCCGCCGCCCGCACTGCGCATGCGCGGCACCGGCAATGCGCGAAACCCGGCCTGGAGCGCGCCGGGATCGGGAATGGGGGGAACAAGGACTGGATCGCCGCTGGAATCTCTAATGGGGAAAACCCGGACGGCATCGGGGCTGAGATCCAGAATAGGGGGAAACTCGGCCTGGATTGGGACTGGAATCATGAATGGGAGGAAACCCAGACTGGATCAGGGCTGGTATCTCTAAGGGGGGAAACCCGGTCTGGATCAGGGCTGGTATTGGGAATGGGGGAAAACCAGGACTGGATTAAGGCTGGAAGCTCTGATGGGGGAAACATGGACTGGAGCAGGGCTGTGATCAGGAATGGGAGAAAACCTGGACTGGATTAGGGATGGAATCGTGAATGGGGGAAACCCAGCCTGAATTGGGGCTGGAATCCAGAATCAGGGAAACCCAAACAGGATTGAGGTTGGAATCTGGAATGGGGGGAAACCCAGACTGGATCGAGGCCAGGGTTGGGAATGGGGGGAAACCCAGACACGATAGGGGGTGGGATCCTGAATGGGGGAAAAATCAGACTGGATTAGGGCCAGGATCAGGAATGAGGGAAAATCTGACAAGGAACAGGGATTGGATTGGGAATGGAGCTGGAGGTGTGGATCCGCACAGCACCGTGTCCTGGCATCCCCCCGCTCAGCACCATGGTGGCTGCCCCTCTGCAGGCGGGCACATCCATCCTCCACACACCAACCTGCTGTGCCACAGAGCTCCAGGAACATGGGGGCTTGGAGGTGCATCCAGGCAGGACAAGGGGGAATGGCTTCACACTGACAGAGGAAAGGATGGGACTGGGTATGAGGAAGAAATTCTTCCCTGTGAGGGTGGTGAGGCCCTGGCACAGGTTGCCCAGAGAAGCCGTGGCCACCCCATCCCTGGAAGTGTTCAAGGCCAGGTTGGACAGGGCTTGGAGCAACCTGGGATAGTGGAAGGTGCAGGGACACCTCCATTCATGTGAACCCACCAGTGAGCCCACGGAAAGCCAAGCAAATGCTGCCCGGGGGGTTGGTTATGCCCAATTTTCCCCTCGGCAACTAAGGACATGGGTCTTGCAGAGCACATGATCAGGCTGACGGATGTGGCTGTGCTGAGCAGGCAGAAGGCACTACTAATGAGCTGTGCATACCTTGGATTTCAAGGGGAGGCTACATCCCAAAGTAATTTATTTTAGTGCTGCAAAATAAATAATCAAGTCACATTTGGATGGCAGAATCAAATACCCCGTGCTAAATTCTGGGTTTGGTTGTAAAAGGATAAAAAAAATGTGGTTATCCTCCATTCTCATCTGAATTTTACTTCATATTAGAACATGACCTTGCGCTTTTTTCTTTTTTTTTGTCCTTGTTTTGTTGCTTCAAAATTAGTTCATTTTTCAACACTTTAAAGTTTTCTTGCTATTCCCTAAGCTATATATGCTGAAAACGTTACTCTTTCTGTAGACAGTGGTCTATAAAAGAACATTGAAATAATCTATAAAATAACATTTAAATAAGATTTAAATAATCTAGTAATCATTTCTTCTGCTGAGGAAGGAAAACAGACAATTGAGCAGAGTTGAAACACCTGACAATTTCCCTGAAAAATAATCAGAGAGTTATTTATGGGTGGTTTGATGATCTCTTTAATGACATTTTCAGTCCATGACTAAGGCGTAAGCCAATGCATCTTTAATTATCTTTTAATTCTTACGACCTCAGCATTCTTCCTGCTGCTGTTTCCTCAAGCTGGATCCACTGTGATTTGTTGTTGTTTTGTCATCATTAATTAGCATGCTGGTACTTTAATACCTTCATCAAAGTCAAACCCATGCAAAATAATAAAATTTGAACCAGTTTATTAAATCTTGTGCTATTTTATTTCATTCCAAGAAAAACAGAGCACAGACAGTGCAGACTGAGGCCTCAGGATGATGTGCTTCCGTCACATATGTGTCCCTTAGGTACAGTATGTGCTATAAAAGTCCAGCCAACAAAGAAATGCTGAGCTTTTTGTGAACAGTGGGGTGCTGGGTTTGCAAAAATCTAAATGCCTTTAATTTGTTAGACAAGTAGCTCTGAAGGGGCTTCAGTCCCATCAGGGACAGTGTGGGGTGATGTGAGTGGGATTCCCAAAGTGGCTCCTGAATGGTTGGACAGGAAAATTTCCTTAACAGAGGCTCAGGAACAGAAGAAATTTATGCACATGCTTGTCAGCGTGACACCCCCACACTGCTGATTCCAGAGTGTCCCCTTTTCCCACTAGTCAGGAACATTAAATACTGACAGCACTGGTAAGGGCAAGGAGTGCTCCTGCAGAGAGATTTAATGTAAAGGCCGTTTCTTGTAAGATACTGAATTTTTATCAACAGAACACAAAACAAACATTATATTAAAGTCAGCAACATTAAGTATTGTTTTGTGTTTGTTTTGTGTTTTTTTTAAATGAGAGATTGAATCTTTCTGTCTGGAAAATAAATCCTTCTATCTGTGCACATTTTCCAGATGAGTTGCAGGGCAATTTCCAAAAGCTCTTTCTAAAGGACAGTTCTGATAAAATTATAATTTGCTGAATTGGATTAGTAAAAATATTCCCTGCTTAATGAGGTTTAGGAAACAAATCTCTGTGCTAAATATGAAAGTGTGCACTGGGAGTGAGGAGAACTATGGAAATGGAATATGCCTTTTCTAGGGTGCAGAACTAAGATATCTGGAAAAAGAAGAAAGAAAAGCACTATTTCCCTGTGTCCCAAGATGCCTCAGCCTGTGGTGTGTGATAGGGAAATGAGCACAGAGGTGTGGAAAGCCTGAGGCACTGTGTAAAGCTGAAAGAACACAGAAGGAAAGATGTTTACATTCCCTGCAAAATCAGTTGAAGAATTGTTCTTTTGTGAGAATTTTAAAGAATAATGAGTTTGATTGACAAAATTGTGTCACCTCTCTTTGTAGTATGTTTGCCTTCTCATCCTGAGGAAGGTACCAGCCAGGTTCTTATTCTTGAACACCTGTGTGTGTGAATCTTAGTATAAAAATGTGCATGATGACCCCAGCATCCTAAATCATATTATATTTTCATAAATATGATTTCAAGACTTTCCTGAAGGAAAAGGAATGCCCTGTGTCATAACTGATATATGCCAAAAACTGAGTAATGATAGTCCAAAGTGCTACAGAATTAAGTTTGAGCTGTGATGAATAAAACCCAAATTACTTCAAGGTACAGTAGATAAATTAGAGGGTTGCAAAATATGGGAAAGAGTAAAGTCTTAGAAACTGAGGAACAGCTGTTGTGTCTCATCCATGTACTTCTTAAATCCTCAATACCACAAAATTCAGCCAATTTAACATCAGATAAATTCGGGGAAGCATAATTATGTTCCCTGCTCCATCTAGGGATTTCCATTAGAGCAGGCTGATGCCTGTGTGTACTGCACAGTTGCTGAGCTGTGTCACATCAGCTTGTGCAGATGAGGTTATGACAGAGGCAGCTGATGGTGCCATCGTGGATAATCTAAATAATATTAAATATGTGAAGTAAGTCAACTGAAAGAGCTGCAGGATGTTGATGGGAGAAGGAAGCACCACTCCCTGTGACCTCCCCTTACCTTAGGTCAAAGTGAGGGAGGAATCATCAGTCTCTACATATTGGATTAAATCACAGCACAAACTAAGGTTGATCTTGAGCCCTTGTCCCCTCTCAGGTAGAGATGATTACAGCATGATTTGCTTTTCTTGTTTGCATTTGTTATCAAGCAATCAGAAATGCTGCCAGGGGCTTTAACACCCCTAGATGAGACAACTGACTGCAGGATCTCACTGTGTGATCCTGGCTGGAGGATGCTGAGTGCACACACAGAACTCAGGCGTGTGGTGTTCACACTCCTGAGAGCAGAGCTGATGGAGGGCAACACACTGGAGCACACATCCTTCTCCCGCATCCCCGGGCCTTCCTGATGCTACTTTGCAGTTCCTTTCCCTCCTGGAGCTTACACTCGGCAAATTTGCATTTCCTAATCGGTTAACTTGCCTGTGGCAGTGGGAGTTCTTATTTGTAAATCGTCCTCTGTCTGTGCTACAAGCCTTTGCAACCCCTTTGTTGTGCAAATACAGGCGTATAACTCGAGTAAACCAATTGGCTTCAGCGGGATTATCCTGAGGGAGTTAAATGCTACCTCATATACATAAATACTGCTCTCCAAGAGGCAGATTCTGCAGTCCAGTACAATTTTATTTTTTGAAGGAAAAGGGGTAGCAGCACAAACTAATAGTTAAACCAAGGCGATAATAACTTTCCTCCTCAGTTTATCTGCAAATGTGAGAGGTTCAGCAATGGAGTTAATGATACACCATATTCATATTTACATTTCAGAGTGTCATTGCTTTCCACTTGGAGGAACTGTGGATTGTCACATTTTGCAGATAGGAGAACAGCCACAGATGAAATGTAGGAGTTTAGGATAACCAAACATGCCGAGGGTCTCTCAGCCAGAGGGCAGCAATGGCAGCAGGGTCTCTGGCCAGCTTGTACAATGGCTTTCAAAATCTTTTAAGCACTTTCTAAAAAGGAGGGTTGAAGTCATAAGATAAACCAGATGCTGCAGCTGGTATTGCAGACAAAATTTTTGACAGAACAGAAGCATTTCTAGAACTCAAAAATTTTTCCCAGCTGTCCTTCACTCTTATTATGTGGGAGTGAATTCAGCAATTTCCAGGGCTTTTTTAACCATTGTGTAGTTTTTCTGGTAAGTGGAAAATCACAGTTAAATCAGCAGCTGGCATTTGAAGAAGATTTCTTTTTTTGAGGAGTGGTGCCATGTTGCTAAAACTTTTTATGCTTTAGCTGGGAGGGCTGCCAAAGTTGTTGGTGCTTCTTGCATTTGGAGTTCCCTAGATGACAATTTATTATTGTTTTTGTTTAGAAGTCTGGGAA